CAAAAAAGTACTCCAGAGTGTTGTTCAGCATGGGGGTGAGTAGAAAATGAAGGCTAATCATGTTTTGGGTGTACTATTCCTTTAATAAGTGGTCCTCCTAAATGTCAATCATTCTGGTGATATGTTTATGTGAGGCCTTCCTACGTGCTTATCCCTTTTACTATCTTTTTCTACCCTTGCCCACTTTCAGGCGTATATCTGTGGTGAGCTACGGTTTCAGGCGGTCATTGAGGCTCACCTTTCTCACAGCAGTTCTTTTAAAAAAGTGTTTACGAAGTGTATGAAGAGAACAGAAAGGCCTCAGAAGAAGCAGATATATCCCAGAATGCTTTAATGGAGAGCTCTCCTTGCAAAGCACGATGGGATTTGCGGTCACAGTGGCCCGCTGTCTCCATAGGCTGCCGCTACCCGACAGTGGCGACTAATAACAAAGATGGCCCAGGCACCACGCGGAGGAGTTGTTACTGAGTTTCAGTCAGTTAACTGAGTTTGCTATAAAGTCTACAATAAAAAAAGGGCATGCTCATGTACAAATGGGCATGGCACGCTCTTGCATGTGCATTTTTTTAAAGTGGAGAGGGCGGGTCTTTAAAAAATCCTTCACAATACCTAGTCTTTTAAATTGGTTTAAAAGTTATCATTTGCTCCTGTGTTTTGTTTTTTGTACTATTCGCATGTTTGAAAATAAAAGCTTCATTCATCCAGTGCTAATATGTTTTATCGTTTTCTATATTCCTACTGTATCCATCCTGTGTCGTGAAGTTCAGAGAGAGAAGTTGTTCTTCTCCGGCACAAACATCATGTAGAACATAGCAGCTGTCTTGTTTCCTCACAGCACCTCAGCCAACTCTTTAATCCCAGTCCCCACTGGGATCTGATCAGACTTTATGACCGAGGATGGGCGGCCCATGACCCAACACCCCCCTCTGTTGGGAGCAGCACACAGAAAATACAGCAGAGGGACCCCCTTTCAGAATAAAAGCTTCTTTTTATGCTGCATTTCTGACCCACATTCAGTCCGGGCACATATCACTGGCTGAGGCCGTCTGTAGAGGACTGCCTTTACAGTAAATGACTCCTGAGGCTGTTAGAGAGGAAACTTTAGAAAGAGGACTCAGTGTAACTGCCCACTTTAGACAGCCGGAACCTGAGGAAGTCAATTAAGCAGTTAGTGGTTCTTAAAGTGGTGAGAGAGACATTCACAGCTTGCATTAGACCTTGATCCAAACCAAATCACCGGGTCGCTGAACTCATAAAGGTGGATTTAAGACGGGGAAAGGCTTGCCTAAGGGATGTTAAAAACAGGCATATGAGAGTAATTTTTCTCACCTAGCTTAAACTAATTATACCCAATTATCTTTGCATGACGCTGTTTGTTCTCTGATGGTCTCCAACAAACGAAGGCCTTCTTAGAACGTCTTCGATGGCGTCTTCGGGTAATTATTTAGATTTTTTTTTCTCTTTTTGCAAGAAGTTGATGTCAAACATTGTGTATTTTGTAGCAGTTATTTTCCAGACACGAGTTGCCTTTATTTTTATTGTTTTCAAAAGCAGGCAGACAGGACATGGGATTAGAGAGAGGAGGGAAGACACACAGCAATGGTGACGAGGGCGGGACTTCAACCTGTGAAGGCCACGTCGGGGACCGAAGCTTCTGTATGTGGGTCACAAGCTTGACCCCTGTACCAACGCCGCAACCTGATGTCCAACATTATTAAAACAAACATCTGTCTGATTTTTGGTGCCCATTTCAAAATAACGTCGCTCTCTGACTCTATCAACAATACAGTAAATAGTAACGGCTCATGAGAATATCTTGGGGTTGGGATACTGTACCAAGTGTTGTGACTTTGGGGAGTGGCGGCCTAGTGGTCAGGGCATTGCTCTTGGAATCAAAAGGGTCTAAGTTCGAGCCCCACTACCACAGACTGCCACTCTGGGTCCCTGAGCAGCCCACTGCTCCCCAAGGGGATGGGTTAAATCCAGACAGTTAATTTTGTTGCTCTGTACTTGTGACACTGTAATGACACTGAAACGCTGGAAAGGAGGGAGGAAATAACCAGGTACCTAAAAATCTTTGTAGTTTACTTAAATGAAAATAAGGTAAATTACCAAGTTATCAACGCAAAATGTCTAAAAAAAAATTTTAATTAACGTGACACCAAGTGCAAAATCACTACACCCTGGCAGATATGCAAACAACTGAAAACAAAGCTTCAACATACTGATTTTTTATCAGTTGCACAGTGCAGAACAGCATTACCTGAGACGTTTCATGAGCCATTAAAGCAAAGACAACGGGTGGTCTAAAAAAAGAACATTTTAATATCAAGACAGTGAAGTTATTTCAGGGCAGCAACAGATAAATCAACAGGCTTTCCACAGATAAAAGAGGATTAAAAAATGGACAGGGTCATGTTGGCTTTAAGTTGAGTCTTATCTAACGCCTTTTATGGTTACAAAAGCAGAGGAGTGAATATAGACCATAAACTTATAGAATCAGGCTGCGTATTAATATTTAAAGTCCATGCAGCATGTTGCCTTCCAAATAGTTCATTACTACAAGTGTTTGTAATTTATTAAGCAGCACAAAAGGGTAGTAGGGGGTAGGGGAGTGGCGGCCTAGTGGTTAGGGCATAGAGCTATGAATCCTGAGGTTCTGAGTTTGAGCCCCACTCCCACAGACTGCCACTCTGGGTCCCTGAGCAAGACCCTTAATCCCACACTGCTCCCTGGGCGCCGCACGACGGCAGCCGACTGCTTCCCAAGGCGATGGGGGTTCATTTCATTGCTTTGTACTTGTGACAGTGTAATGACAATGTCACAGTCTTGGTTTTGTTATGTTTATTTAGAGTACTAAGTTTTACTTTGCTCCTTGTTTTAGTGTTTAATTATTATTTTGTTGTTTTCTTGTTAGTTCCTGTCTTCCAGGTTTTCCATTTGTTGTCCTCTGCTGCCCTCTTGTGGCCTCTATCCCTAGCTCTGTTTTCTGCTCTGTCTTCACCTGTTTTCAATCCCCTCATCAGCCCTCTCTTTGTCTCTGTCCCCTTTAAAAGCCCTCCCTATTCAGTTCCTGTCTGCTTACCTCGTCTCTCCCTGGCTCCTAGTGTTTGGTTTCCCCAGATGTCTCCTTGGTTCTGGTTTGTTTGTATTTTTTGTTGGATTTTTTGATTCCTGCCTCTGTACCTGTGAACCTTATTAAACCCACCTAAATTCACCTCTGCCTACTTGCCTCTGCTTTTGGGTCCTCAATCCAACACCAAATCATGACAGACAGTA